TATCTAAGTACTATTATGAATTCAGCTGTATATTCGTTTGATTTGAAATGCCAAATATTTATTTTTAGCCAGAATTATAATGTACGCAGAATAAATATTATCTATAAATGTTTTTAATATGCTATCTATTTACTTATACATTATTTAGTAATTTTACGCATTTTTATAATATAATATTAAATAGTATGGAGTATATGTATAGGTATATAATATAATATATGATAAAATTTATTATTTATTGTGTACAATTAGTTCTTTAACTTACTTACTTAAGGATATAAAACTTAGTTATAATACTGTTATTTAATTTTCTTAGAAAACTTATTGAAGAAAATTTTGGGAGTACCTAGTATTAAAAATAAGATACGATCTCGAGGCAGTTGCACAGAGACAAAATGAGTTGGAAAAAATTATATTGAACCAAAGTCAATGGAAAGATGGACAAGCTTTATTTGAAGATCATGTCGATGAATTTGAATTCTGTGTTCCAATAACCAATGAAGATTCTTTAAATGATTTTGAACAAAAACTTGCTACATCCCAATCATTTAAAACAAGTGTTGTAAGTGTGAAATTTAATTTGACAAATTTATACACTATTAAATGTTTAAAAATTGTCAGTTATTATACTGATACTTAAATAGAAATTAATGATTTATGACATAAATTGTTTGCCATAGATCAACGGGTTGAGACGTCTATCACGTAAAACATTGGCATCCACAGTACGTCAAATGTTACGTAAGCTCTTTGACGACAATTTTTTAACTGAATATAGTTATGTTGGGCAAAAAAAAAAAGATCTTTTCTTCATTGGGAACATGTGCTGTTATTTTTGGTAAGAATAAAACATATCATTATTATCTCTTATATTACCTATAGTATGAAATAATGTTTGAATAATGCATAAATTAGGTGCATGCATATATATAAATACCCCTCAAAAATTATGTAATTTAAAGAAGGTTATAGTATTTATTTACACATTGAATACTATTGTTAACTTTACTTAGTTTTATATAAAATATTTTATTTTATTTCTGTTGTAGATGCTGTTCGTAAGATAAAAGAATTTATCAACTGCACTAATGCGGACATAGAATCGCCAATCAAAATATACATTGCTGGTGCAGCATTTAGAAAAAAAAAATAAATTGTATTTTATAACTATTAATAAACTTCTAGTATTCAACATCATTATTTTTTTCTTAACTCACCCTTTATAAAAAAATAACAGAATGTGTTAGCATGATGAAGTGGACTCTGCAATTGTGGTTTAGCCGTTTAGGTGATAATGTTTCTGCTTGTATTATGTTGTTTCAGGTTGAACATAAAGAATATTATATTTAAAGTACAATATTTTACTAGCAATTATAATTGTTTTAAAACCTTTTCTAATCTTAAATATAAATGGAACTTGACTAATCAGGACATTTGAAATTATTAGAAAATAATATTTTATTTAAAAATTATATTTTATAATTTTTTTTATAATTATAATGATATCTTTTTAATCTTTTATTATAATTCAAATTATTTAATAAAGCATTATTATTATAATTTTTTATCCTTATTGTAATTTAAAAATGACATTTTATAATAATATAAATATAATTTTATATTATTATTATAATTTAATNACGTTTTATAATATTATAAACATAATATTTTAGTATTAATACGTAAAAAACGTTATAATAATGTGGGAAGTTAGGCCAAAAAATAATACTATAATAATATAATTATATTATTGTATCTTATTTGTACTGAAAAAAGTACGTAAAAATAATATTACTCATTTCGTAATAATGTTAAAATACTATTATTTTAACATTACTATATTGACAATTTGCTATGTGGGAAGTAGTAAGTATTTTTCTTTGGCATTTATTTGTACATTTTCTACTTTCAACTCATTTTTTTAACTTTTCTATCATCTGTAAATTATAAATTAATATTACCATGTCTTGTAGGTACTTCAATAAAATACGTTTTCAATAGGCTAAAGGTTTCAGTATAATAAGTTATACTAATTTCTCATTTTTTTTTTTAGGTACCTGTTTTTTAGATCTCCAATTATATGATGAGCTTTCTTCAATTGTAAAATCAGGGAAATATAATAATTTTATAACTACCATAGTTGCTGGACAGTTAAATTTTTTTGTACTATTTAGAGAAAATCTTTTTTTAACACAAGTAGGATGATCATTCTATAAACGCCAAAAAAGTAAAAAAAATAATGTTAATTTCTAAGTAAGATATTTGATTTTAGAAATGTATTAAAGTAGTGTTGTTACATCTGTATTGTCTTTCAATTTGTGGTGAGGTCCATTTACACATTCAAAATAAATGTGCTGTTTAATTAAAAATGGACAGCCCATAAATTTAATTGGCAATTCTCCACGCTCAAGGGAAAATCTATACTTAGATTTTTCTCCTGTCAACACATTTTAATATTATTGGTTCATATTTTGAAATTCATTAAATAACTATTTAAACATTCAGACTTATTTAATAAATTACCTTCATATTTTATAGACTTTGCCACAACATATCCAAAACCTAATTCTAACAGACGTTTAGTAAACACATTCAAATCACTGGTTTCTCCTTGAATAGAAATATTATTCACTATGCTTGAGCTGTCTATGAAATTTTTCAGACCGTTAAAATATGTAGTGTCTTCCATTTTCATAAAAATAATAATTAAAAAAAACCGCACTGAAGATAATTCAAAACAAAAAAACTGATTGAAAAAACGATTTAGTCAAAACACTAAAAGAGTTTCATAAAATATATATGTATGTCATATAGGTATAAATAGTATTAAAGTAGAATAACCCATTCATATCAAGTTATCTTCAATAATATATATATATTTTTTTTTGGTACACAGATCACGCAATGATTATTAAATAATCTCAGTTAATCAAAAATAGTTTTAATAGTGTTAGAAGTTTTTAGAAAGTGCTTAAACTAAAGAGTTAACTAGTAAATAATAACTTTACTTTGATCATGAAAAATTGAGATTATTATTTGACTATTGAGGTAAGATAAACATTTAATTTGCAAATAGTAGTATAATTATTAATTAATAATTTTTACTACCATAATAGTAGGACTTTACACTCTGATTACTGTATTGTTTAAGCACCTTTATTAAATTTTTTAAGATACTATATTTATATTAATGTTCCATTTCAGTTTATTAATAACATATTAAATAGTTAATACTAAATATTAACTATTTTAAATAGTTCCGTTTCTATGGCCAGAAGTAATGGCCATATTGTAATATAGATTACATGTATTAAGGGGATTGGAAGCGGCGATTTTCTGTCTTTGTATAACACACGTGCAACATTGGATTATAGACGTGTTCTATTTCCAACGTACCGATTAATCTAGTGAAGCGATAAGAATTCTGAAAGCAGATTTGAATTCGTCGTCAAGTCTACTTGAGATCGACTTTTCCACATTTTTGATATTATCCTCCAAAAATTCTAAAAAACGATATATTCAAAAGAGTAATTAAAAAATTGACATATTTCAATTTTTGGAGAAGGTTAAATCAAAAAATCAAAAATGTGGGAAAGTCGATCTCAAGAAGACTTGACGACAAATTCAAATCTGTTTTCAGAATTCTTATCGCTTCACTAGATTAATCGGTACGTTGGAAATTAGCTATGCGTTCTGTTTTAAACAGTAGCAGTTTTGCTGTGACATGTGCGTGCGCGTGCGAAAGTGTACAAACTAGACGATTCCGGCGCGTTACTGTCAACAGCGCTTGACTGTCAAACGTAAATTATTTATAGATAGTATCGACAATTTTCCAAAGTAAAATAGATATTGGATAATATAATATTGATTATTATATTTTCTGACGTTTGATAATATTATTACCACATTTGCTGTGTGCCTGTGTATAGTTACAGTGAAGTGTACAGTTACATTGAACCAGGGGCTACGCACTTATACTTGTGATAATAGGTTTTTATAAATAGTTATTGAGAATGACACCAAACGCGCTGTAGTCGTATTATATTTATTTTAATATTTTATTCCAATGACATACAATTATTGTTCCATGATATTTGGGAATTTTGGGGATTCCCAGTATTTTATAAACTTTGCCTTTACGTCATGTTAAAATTTAAAATATGTAATTTTGTTTTTCGTTTTTGCCGTCTTCCAATTTTGCGACTTGTACTTTTTTGGAAACGTGATATTAAGTGTATTATATATTGTTATATTTAAATATGGTATCGAATAAGTGTTCGGTCATTGGTTGTAAAGACTCAGCAAAACGTAAATACGTCTTTCCGAAAAATGAAGATGACCTGAAAATATGGGTAGAAAGAACTGGGAATCCAGTCTTAAAAAATCTATCGGTAGAAGCTATTAGAAGAACATATCAAATTTGTAAAAATCATTTCGATAAATGTTGCGATTCACCTGGCACAAATCAAAAACTAAAGCAGCATTCGTTGCCTACATTAAACCTTCCTGGTAAGTTGTTTTTATATTTTTATTTTAGTTAATATTAATTTTATATATTTTTTCATTATTCCATATTTGAATTGTGTATAAATGCATAGTTATTTGAAAAATTAAGTACACATTTTGTATTTTATGGATATAATAAAGTTTATTCAAGTTCTAATTTGAACAAATAAACACTGCAAATTTATAATAATAATATTTTCATAACATAATCACTAGAACTAGTTCCTTTGAACGCCTTCCTCCCGAGCACTAATATTTATTATGTATGTTATTTTATTAAACATTAAATAATTGTATTTATTATATATGAATAGGACTATATGAATCACCATTGAACTGGTCTAGCAGAGAAGAGCCACCAATAGCTTCCAGCCACTGCATTCCAAATCTCGGTAAATAATTGCATTATATAATATTTGTTTTTAATAAGTTATTTGGAATGTTGTATTTAATAAATTACAGCTTCAGTCGGAGATTCATCACTAAACTGGTCAAGTATAAGTCCACCAAATCATAATTATTGTAAGTAAATATTACATAATTAAATTAAAGTGTTGGTTTCATAATTTTAAATTAATTATTGTTTACAGCTAATATAATACAACAAGATATTGAACAAGAAGTTGGTAAGTGTGTTTCTCATTCAACACCACTTCATACACCATCTAGTAGTAAACATCAATGGACATCCAGAACAACTTGTGCTTCTAACAAATGTAAGGAAAATAGTGACTTTATTTAATTTAATCAAAATTTTGTAATAATTAATTTTTGTTTTATAATAATTTACAGTTGATTCTGATTTGGATGGATTTGTGCCTCTACTAACAGAAACTAATCAGAACATGTTATTAAATACAGTAAACGTAAACAGAAAAGGAAAGCTTACCCCAAACTGTAAGAAATTATATAAAGAAGCCATGAAGCTAAAACGAAGAGCAGAGCGTTTAGAGAAACAGAATAAAAGTACTAGATGTCAACTAAATTTAGCTAATCGATTTACACGTAGTACTTTTACAACTCAATTAATGAAAAAAGTTAACTCGAGCACTTTCAATTTCATTATGAGTCAAATGAAAATTCAAAAGAAAACACCTCAAGGTAGAAGATATAGTTTAGATGACAAAATTATGGCCCTTTCAATGTTTAAAAATTCTCCTAAAGGGTATAAATTTTTATCGACAGTATTTGCTTTGCCTTCAAAAAAAACTCTTTATAATCTTTTACAACAAGTCCCATTCAATACTGGAATAAATTATCATATTATAAACAATTTAAAACATCAAGCAGAAAAATTAAACATTTTGGATAGGTACTGCACGTTGCTTTTTGATGAAATGGCATTAGATGCAACTTTAACTTATGATAAAAAAAGTGACTCTATTTTTGGCTTTGAAGAGAATAATCTAAAATTTGCCAATCATGTTTTAGTATTTATGTTAAGAGGTCTACGGAAAAAATTCAAGCAACCAATTGCATACTACTTTTGTTGTGGTACTACAAAAACTGAAGATCTTGTAAGTTATATTAAAGAAATAATTTGTGCAGTACAAACCACAGGATTAAAAATAAAAGCTACTGTTTGTGACCAAGGTTGTACAAATCAAGCTGCAATTAATATCCTTGTAAAAGAAACAATTCACTTGTGTAAAACTCAAAATATTGTAGATAAATACTTGGGATTTTTAATTAACAATGAAGAAATTGTACCTTTATATGATCCTCCACATTTGTTAAAATGTATGAGAAATAATTTATTGACTAAAAATTTAAAATTTAATTATAATGGGAAGAATCAAACAGCATCATGGAGCCATATCGAAACTTTGTACAGATTAGATAAACAAAATGAAATATATGATTTACGCACTTTGCCAAAACTAACAGAAGCACATATAATACCATCCAAAATAAGAAAAATGCGTGTATCAGTTGCGGCACAAGTTTTCAGCCACCGAGTAGCTTCCACGATGCATCTTATTGCTAACTATGGTAAATAATTTACAATATTATATAAAAAATGTATATTGTATTTTTTTAAATATAATGTGATACCTCTAAAAATTTATTCTTTTAAATCTAGATTCTGATAGTTCACTATCCAACTCAATTGGAACATCTAATTTGTGTCTTTTTATGGATAAAGTGTTTGATTCTATGAATGGTTCCACTATTAATGCATTAGATGGCAAACCATTAAGATGTGCAGTTAAAAATGGATCTTCTCATATTCAATTTTGGGATGAAGCCATTCAGGTTTTCAAAACTATGGTTTTTGTGAATAAATTGGATGACTCTGCTGTAAGACAACCAATATGTATAAAAAATTATATAAAAACATTAGAATCTTTTAAATACTTGTGGTTAAAATTAAAATCTGAAGGTTTTAAGTTTCTATTACTAAGAAATATTAATCAGGATTCTTTGGAATGTTTCTTTGGATCTATTAGAAGCCACGGATCCAGAAATAATATGCCTAATTGTTACCATTTTTCTACATCATTTAAAACTTTACTTTTAAATAATTTCTCTTCGTTAAAATCGCTAGGGAACTGTGAGCTTGATGATAGTATAGGAGCTTTAGATAATTTAAAACAATTCTTATCTGGACCAAATGAGGTACATAGTAATGATGTTTCATTAAATTTATGTTTAAATTCATTTAATGTAGAACTTGTAAAACCCAATAAATCTACAATAGGTGAAATGACAATTGGCTATGTAGCTGGCTATATAGTTCGAACATTAATTAAATCAACTAATAATTGTAATATTTGTAAAAATGATTGTATAGATATTCATAATGCCAATGAACTAATTAGTGTTAGAAACTATTCTGATAACAGATTGAAAACACCGAGCCAAAATTTTAATAATATTATTGAACATATTTTAAATATTTTTACTGAAGTTATTAATAGTACATGTAATAAACCTCACATTTTTAAGAGTTTAAATTTATTAATTGAAGTAAATGTTGACTTTAATTTTTTATGTAAAAATCATAATTTGAAACAAATGTTAATAAAAAAACTAATTTTTTTTTTATTATTTACTTGGTGCAAAAATATTAATCGTGTGCTTTCTGGAGCTGATAGCAGAACGGATAATAATAAAATTAAAATCATGGCTAAAGAATATTATATAAAATACAAAACTAAAAAACGATGATATAATAAATGATTCTAATAAATACTGTTATACTTTTATATTATAAATTGTTATATAAGTACCTACGTTTATTTTAATATTGTAATTATTTTATTTTTTACAAGTACCTGTTTACTATTATTATGTTCTATTTTGTAATATGTTTAATATTTGTATATATGTAGTATTGTAATATGTAATATATTGTTCTGTCTTATATTATTCAAAATAATTTTATATTTTTATATAATTTAAATAACCACTTATTATAGCTTTATTTAAATATACATCATAGAAAAATAAATATGTATATAGTATTTGATGATTCCTAAAAAAACGATATATATGATGATATCAGCAATTTATTTTACCATTTAGTTGAAGGAATTAAATTTATTAGCATTTATTTGTAAAATAAGTAAAATTTACAACTTATTAATACTATTACTAGCATTCTGTGTGCCTGTGCTAATCGTTTAGTTGGTAAGAATGACACCAAGCGCTAGTGTAGTTGGAAACCGAATATTTGGTCGAGTTGCTTATCTATTAATCTTTTATCTATGCATTGAACTAATTGATGATTCCGTTTTCTTTACAAAATATTTTGAAAAATAAATAAAACACTATGGGTAATTCTAAAAAAAAAAAGTTATCGTTATCAAAAATGAAAAAACACAAGGGCAATGTTAATGCGCTATTGAAATGGCGTTTGAATTCCAATTGCATAACGGTAAGTTTTAATTTTCATTATAATAATATATATTAGAAGCAATTGTTTTTTGTATTCAAACTGTTTAAAATATGTTAATTATACATACACTGCATAAATAAATGTATGGGTGTACGATGATAGTGGAAGTCACTACTCGCTCTGCTGTATACAAATTGTAGAAAATGATAATAAGTATAAATTATAAACAATTAGTAAAATTTTCGTGTATTTACAGTTATTCGTTTTTGAGTTACATCAAAATAAGAAAATCGCTATATAAAAAATCGTATGAATATCCAATGTTGTAAAAATATGAATTAATCATGGGACTTACTGGCATTAAAGATACTTCTATTTTACCAAACAGAATTCAAATCAAAGCTCAATTAAAATCCAGATATGCATTATATGTGCAAATGATAACAGATTTAATACAAAATCATAATTATATTTGTACAACTGCGGACATTTGGAGCTCAAATAATAAAAGCTTTATGGGTAAATATATTATAATTATATTTTTTTTTAAATTATACTGTACCTACATTTACCTAGTAAAACTTCAATAAAATTACCAAATTGATTTAGACATTTTTACCAACTTGTGAATAAGTAATACCAATGATTATAGTACATAGTATAATACACTATGTGTACTATATTATAATATTATGTGTAATCGATGGTAATACTTAATAACATTTTTTAACTATTTGTGGTATGGTATTGTTGTAGGTATTATATTATTATACATATACATTTAATAAGCAACTTAAAATTGGATTATTATAAATTCATTTTTTTATATAGGTATGACGTGCCATATGATAAATGAATCTACATATGAACGAAATTCAAATATTTTAGAATGTAGAAGAATGAAAGGAAGCCATAACTACATTAATATTGCTGAGATGATGACTGATATAACTGAAACATACAAATTGGACCATTCAAAAATTACTCATACTGTCACAGACAACGCCAGTAATTTTAGTAAATCATTTAAGACATTTTCTAAACCTTTACCTGATGTACATCAGGGAAATTCTTATACTTTTGGCAATTTCAATGAAGATAGTGATACTGGTAGCTGTAGTACTGATACAGCTGACGATGAAGATACAAACTTAAATTTGATAGATGTCGATGAGGTACTCTCAACTCCAGTAATATCGGACGCAGTGAACGATAATTTTTCTCTGCCATCACATATTACTTGCTGTGCCCATAGTTTAAATTTGATAGAAACACGTGATATTTCTTCAATTGATGATAGTAAATACAATAAAATGTCTGAATCGTCATTTAAAAAATTGCAAAGCTTTTGGAATTTATTAAGTAGGAGCACGGTTGCATCTGACAAAGTGTTTGAGATATGTGGTTGCAAATTTCCAGTACCTATTATGACAAGGTGGAACTCGTTATTCGATGCAGCTAAAAAGGTACTGGCTCATAAAACTGAAATTATTAAAGCATTTGAAGAATTACGTTTAACAAAATTAAAGGCAAATGAATGGGATTTATTGACGGAGTACTGTAACGTAATGGAAACTTTAACAATTTCTTTGGACAAGATGCAATGTGAAAAAAAAGGTTTCTTGGGCTATGTTGCACCTATTATTTTAGTTTTACGCCGCACTTTAATAGCGTTAACAAATTTAAAATACTGTAGACAATTATGTATTAAAGTAGTTCAAAGTTTAGAACAAAGGTTTGCCTATTTATTTGATTTGTCCTTGCCCAAAAGTAAATGTTTTGTCATTGCATCAATTAGTCATCCTAAGTTCAAATTAAGTTGGATTCCTGTTCGATACATTGAGTTGTGCAAAAAACTTTTTTTTACTGAGTGCAATGAAATGTATACTAATATGAGTGATATCAAAAAAAAAACGGCTGTAGCTAGTGATAATGAAGACAGTGATGATAGTGACCAGGAATTTTACTCAGGTTTGTATGAACACACTAATAATGGATACTCTGCTGATGAATCAAGAATTACAAACTTTTCTTGTGTACAGGCTTTGACGTTCTTAAATTCTCCCAAAAAAGAATTTAGTGTTTTAGAAGATTATCCCATAGTTAAACAAGTGTTCTTAAAATACAACACAACTATTCCGTCTTCAGCTCCAGTGGAACGCCTGTTTAGTGGAGCAAT